GGAAAGAGACAAGACTACTCAGTTTTACACCTTCGACTTTTATTTGCTTTCTAACCACTCCCCTGCCCAGTAAGTCCCTGCTTACTGTCTTGTATAGATTGAAAGCAATGCGATTGCACCAACAGCCTGGGGCTGGGAGCTGTAGGCATGGTACACAAACAGCTTATTCTCTTGAAATCCCCCCCTCTCCAGTTTCTCTGCTCTGTGAGGTGCGGGGTTGGGGGAGAAAAATAGCAAGTGATTTCTGTAGGTGATCTCTCCTTAGCCTGACCCTTTTCTGCTGCTGGCACGACTGCATTGCTTTTGATGTGTAGAAGAGCAAATTACTCTCTTGAAATCCCTTCTGTTCCAATCTCTCCACTCTGCTGTAAGGTTGGACATAAAGTTATTTTTTCAGCACGTTGTAACTTTGGTCACTGAATGAGTGGTCAGTAAGCAAGGACTACTTGTACAGTAGTTTTGTAGCAAAAACATTGTGGATGGCATTGTGGATAGGATAGTAACCTTTATTAATTTTTTTTAAGATTTCAAGAAACTTAAACAGTCTTTCATTTGGCTATAAAATGGAAAACGAATATAAAATATAAAATATTATGAAGATGATTATATATATAGTAAAATGATAATGCAATAAAGAATATTTTCTATTGTATAGCATTTGCCTTTTTATAAACTATAGTTCTTTCGATATTTATGTTTATTATACCAAACATGCTTCAGCTCTCAGAGCTATTAAGAAAGGTTATACTGTAAGTTACAAAATAAGAATTATCAGTTGGTTGCTCTATGCTGGTAACATATCTCAGGGGTTAGGATTCAATATTCTCCTTTGCTATATTGTATTTGCCTTCTCTATTATATATAGATAATTATTTGTTGTTGCATAGGTTAACTATGGGTCATCCTTAAACTGGGCATTCTTAACAGGGGGACTACCTGTAATCCAACCAAGTGATGATGATCAAAGTATGATAGGTCTCAATAAGGCATGCCAGCCAAAGCTGGACAAAGAATATGTACATGTGTGTGTGATTGATTTTGTGCCATCAAGTTGGTGTCACCTTTTAGTGATCCTCTAGGAGGATCTGTCCTCAATCTGGTACTTTACATTTTCAAACCATGCACCAATTGTCACTGTAATTGAGTCCACCCACCTTGCTATTGGTTGTCCTCTTATCTTTCCTTTCCCCTTTCCCAGTATTATAGACTTCTGCAGAGAGTTTGGTCTTTGCATAATATGTCCAGTATGATAATTTGAGCCTGGTTATTTGTCCTGCAAATGAAAACTCTGGGTTGATTTGTTCAGTGATCCATTTGTTTGTTTCCTTGTTTGATGATCCATTTGTTTGTTTTCTTTAGTGTTGGTTTCTTCTCCACATTAAACTTCAAAAGTGTCAATACACTTTCAGTCATGCTTCTTTGGAGTCCAACTTTCACTTCCATAGAGTGTCACAAGGAAAACCATTGCCTGCACAATTCTGATTTTTGTAGGTATAGACACATCCTGGCATCTGAATATCTTTTCCAAGGCTTTCATGCCGACTCTACCAAGTGCTAATCTGGCATATATCTGCTGGTTCCTTTACTGTTGATAGTTGTTCCTCAAAGGTAGAAGCTATCTACCACCTCAGTGTCTTTGTTGTCAGTTCTAAAGCTAGTTATTGTACCTGTTGTCATGAGTTTGGTCTCTTTCTATTTAATCTTAATCCAATTGTTTCACTGTGCTCTTTGACTTTCATACTACAGCTTGCAGATTCTTGGCATTTTGGGCTATGAGGGTAGTGTCAGCAGCACAGTGGAGGTTATTGATGTTTTGCCTCCATATTTAAAACCTAGGTCATCTTTTCCCAATTGAACTTCTCTCAGTGCATATTCTGCATACAGGTTGAATAAATGGGGGGTGGGGTATACAACCTTATTTTACTCCTTTGCCAACCTGGAGCCACTCTTTTTTCCATGTTCTGTACTGTGGCTTCCTGACCGGTGTATTGATTTTGCATGAGGACACTGAGATGTTCTAGGATTCCATTTTTCTAAGCACATTCCACAGCTTGACATGACACAATCAGAGGCCTTTCTATAGTTGATGAAGCATATGTTGACCTCTTTTGAGTATTCTTTGGATTTGTCAGTTATCCAGCATGCATCAGCAATAATGTCTCATGCTCCTTAACATTTTCAAAAGGCAGTTTGAATATCTGGCATCTCTTTTCCCTTGTAGAGCTCTAATCTGCATTAAATAATCCTACCCATTATTTTGCTAGTATCTGAAATTAAAGATATTATATGATAGTTTCCACATTCTGTTAAGTCTCCTTTCTTTGCTTTTGGAATGAAGACTGACCTTTTCTAATCTGTTAGCCACTGTGGTGTTCTCCAAATTTTTTGGCATAGCTTGGTTAGAACCTTTACTGATCCTTCTTCTGTTAATTGCCATATTTCTATAGATATTACATCAATTCTTGTAACCTTCCAATTTGGTAATGAGTGGAGGGCTGACTTAACTTCATCTTCTAGTAGTAGAGGGTTTTGTGAATAGATATCTTGGATGTTAGGATCTCTACTGTAGACAATTTCAGTATGCTGTTCCATCTTTGTTTGATGTTCTTTGAATCAGTTATTATCTGTCCACTGGCATTCTTTAATGTACCAACTCAAGATTGGAACTTCCTTCTGAGTTTAGAGAATTTTTGGAAGACATTTCTTATTTTTCCATGTCTGTTTCCATCCTTAGTGCTTTTACAGATGTTGTAATACTGCTTCTTGTCTCTTCTAACAGTTCTCTGAAATTCTTTGTTAAGTTCCTTCCTGAGATCTTTGTCTTCCTTGGCTTTGGGTTCTGTTCTCTTCTTGGCAATTTCCACTGTTCGTTTTGACATCCAGTGTGCTTTCTTCTTGATCTTTGGCAGTCTCTCTTCACATTCATTCTTAATGACTTCTTTAAATTCATTCCAGAGTTTCTCTGGTTCCTGATGAATGAGGTTTAGAACTTCAAAGTGATTTCTGATGTTCTCCTTGAAAATGTTGGGTATATGCTCAAGATCATATCATGGAAACTGGTTGGCTTTCTTCTGCTTTAGCTCAACTTAGAACTTGCACATGAACAATTAATAATCTGTTCCACTGTCAGTCCTTTGGCCATGTCTTTGCTGTTATAACTAAGCCTGTCTACCTCTTTTCTACTAGTAAATATAGTCAGTTTAATTTCTGAGAACTCCATCTGGTAATGTCCATGTTTTGGTATTGTTTTGGTAGTTTGAAGACCATATTAGCAATGAAGAAATAATTGGATTGGCAGAAATTGTTAAGTCATTCTCCTGCTTCATTCTGGTTTCTTTGGCCATATAGTCCAAATCTCTGTGTATATATATATATATATATGTGCGTGTGCACGTGTGTGTGTGTATGTATTTATATATGGCATAAGGCAGCCTTGTGATCCTGGGGAAAGAATACAAACTGTTGTAGGATATGCTACATTCACATTCTTGCATGGTCCAAAACATATTTCTCCAATTATTTCCAAATTGCTACATAGTAATAGTATGTAGTACTAGTATCTGGCACTCTAAGCATTTATTTTTCAAATTTCTGTGAGAACTAAGATTTACATCTTACCTGCTTAGACCATGACCATCTTGGTGTGGTAAAGCTGTTAGTTTAAAATTGCTCTAGTATGGCAGCTTTTAGTTCTTAAAAGGCAATGGTCCCAACAATCTTAAAGGAAGTTGTTGCAAAGCCATTTTAAATAAAACATTATTGAATTCCATAATGGTCTAAAATATTCTGTTTCTGGGAGGATGCTTAAGCAACTTGTGGCAGCCCAGCTTCAGGTATTCCTGGAAAAGCCTTGATCTTGGAACCATTCTAAACCATACTAAGTTTTATAAACTCAAATCATTGTGGTTTGAAAATAAACATTTATGACTTACAGTAATTTACTGATCAGGTCAATGAGGTCTGTGCAGCTGTTAATGTTTCAGTATGTAGCAACTGCTATTTTAATCCACTTCAGTCTAATGTCTGACTTAGCTTTGGGATCAAGGCAAACTTGACTGCAGGTTGATCTGTGCAAGAGATAATTGTTGGAATTTGCTGCTTTTATTCTTTGTCATTGATGGAATATACCTTGTAATATTTCAGAGATCTTCCTTGTTTTCCTTGCTGTTTAACTTTTTATGTGAAATGTTGGTAGAAATAATCCAGAGATTTTAATTGAAAATATCATCAATGTGTAGATGAATCTCTGTTCTGTTTTTCTTATAATACTAGGTAGGCAATAGAAATCCTGTACCATAATCTGAATTTGGATCAGATGGGAAGAAAATGGATAAGGCTGATTTTTTCTTCCCCTCTTGTATTGGAACTTGAGCTCTTTCAATGAAGTTGAATAATGAGGCATTCAAGACAGATGCCACGTGTAGTATATTAATGAAATGTATAGTGTGTAATACTCATGGAAGATAAGGCTGTACAAAGCTACTTGCCACTATAGTTACATATGACTACCAGCGTTGGAGGTCATATCCCTTTCTGTATATTATTGGGGACCAAGATCAAGAAGATGCTACTTACTCATGCCCTGTTT